TGCTAGCTTTCCTATTCTTGGGCATCTCGAAAATACCATAATCGGTTGTCATTCTCTCCACATGGGAGCCATTCAGATCCCTTGGCTGCCTCTGTGGGGATCCATCAGATAAGGATTTTTTCAATGGCACCCTTTCCCCACCAGATTCTTCACCATCTCCATTGTGTGTTCTGAAAAGCCCATTTACTTACTGCCTGGATATCAATTGCTACAAAACCTGTTTCTCATTGTCAAGATCTCACAGCTCTAGCTACTTAGGATATAATGCTAGCTTCAACAACCTTCTCTCCTTGACTCTTCACTTTTGTTGGGTACAATTATAATTACAGATGATATTGTGAGTTATTGATTTCAGGCAAACCTCTGAGAGTCCCTGACCATTCTCATGATTGCAATATTAAGTGGAAGTAATTTAGTTTCTTAAGACTAATACTGACTTGCTCAAAGGTTTTTCCCCTCAGCATTTCATATATATATGCTTGACATCAACAACCCATTGGATTTTGGTTGCTTAACTTGTATTTGTTTCACGATTCTATGGTGTGTGTGCCCTGTTTAAAAAAACTTGCATTATCTTATCTTTTCTGGAAAACAGAAGAAAAATCATTCGGACTTGCAAATGACAAGGAAGGGTAAATTGGGCAAATTTGCGGATAAACTGAATTACCCTGGTTTTATTGGTCTGGTTATATTCTTGCTATACCTGCCTTTGGAAACAGAAATCTTCTCCAGTTATAGATATTTGCTTATGCTTTGGCTTCTTTAAATCATATGGCATCACATATGCAAAGGTGATTCAATGATAATTCACATAATTTAGTCTTAAATCAAAGGGTGAGAAGAGTAGTTCCAAAACCCAACTTCTTTCTACTGAAATTTATAGAAATAGTCTCATTACTCAGAAAGGCCAAATGTATGCTGTTTTTCTTTTCATTTGTTCAATGCATCTCAAATCTTCCTTCCTACTATCTGAGAACCTTGAGACTACAGTATTTTATTATACAAATCTCTTTGGACATACATTATATTTTATGATTTATTTTAGTTTTTGCAAAATTTTTAGTGTGGAAAAGTTTAAACATATGCAAAAGTCTGTCATCACTCAACTTCAACAATTATCAACTCGTTAGTCAAATTTGTTTCATCTATATCCTTATCTACTCTCCCATGCCTGTTGGACAATAGTGAGCACATCTCCAGACATATCATTTCATCTGTTAGTATTTCAGTATATATCTCTAAAATTAAAAAGACTTTTAAAAAAAGCATAGCAATACTAAATCATACCTAAAAGTTAACAATATTTTCTTAATAGCATCAACTAACTAATCAATATTGAAATATCTCTGTTTCATAATTTCTTTTCACACTTAGTTTATTCAAATCAGAATCCAAATATGATCCATATATAGCATTTGATTGGTATGTTTCTTAAATTTCTTTTAATTCATAGTTCTCCTTTGTTCTTTTTTTCTCGTAATTTAAGTTCTTTAAAGTTTTTCAAATTTCAGTTTGCTGACTGCATCCCCATAGTGTTCTTTAATGTATTTCTCCATTCGCTGAGTTTCCTGTAACCTGATAGATAGGTCTAGAGATTTTATCATATTCATTTATATTTTTTGGCAAGAGTGGTTCATGGGAATGTTATATATTTCCATCAGGAGGCCAAAATATCTGCTTGTTTCTCTGTGATATTAAGATTGTTTAGTGTGTCCAGTCGTTGCCAGCCTGATCCATTCATTATCAAGTTTCCCATCAGCTGTTAATGTGAAGTTTTTAGTAGCCATTGGTTATCATGAATGAGGACCCATTATTTCATAAGGTGTTGCAAAATGGTATATTCTAATACTATCACTTTTTCTTCATTTATGAGGTTTTATTTTAAAATGTTTATTTTGGTAAATTAAATAGAAGGTAATTATTGAGCACTTATGATGCACTAGCACTCTGCTAGACAGTATAAGGAGAAGACAAAATGCATATGTATCATGGACCTTGCTCTAAATGGAAATAGAAACATTAAGCTCAAAATTGTTAGTGTGCAGTTATGGTATGGTAAGTGAATAATAAAAGAGAAATGACCATGGGTTGGAGAATGTTCCATGGAAGATGCGGGACATGTGATGGGCCAAGAAGCCTTTTATGAGATGAGGAAAACTGATGACATTACAGGTAGGGGAATAGTTTGGACCACGCCATCAATCTAAAAACAAGAATGGCTGTATGAGGAAGGCACAGGAAAAAACCTACCTAGAGATTACACATTAGCTAGGTTAAAGTGGGGCATTGGCTGGGAGGGAGAAAGTTAAATTGTTTAGGTCCTATGTGGAGAAATTGACATCACTCCATGAATTTTCTGGTATTGTTCTAAGTACATTTGGCAGATAGACTTTGGGTGGACTAGGGAATTACAGCAAAGTGGCCTAGGGAAATTTAATAGTTTAGAAATTTATTTCTCCTAAGTAAAAGCTCATTTGAGCTTAAGAAATATAAGATTGCCCAAGTCAGATGTAAAATGTAAAGAATTAGTCATGTTGATAGGTGTACATAGTAGTAAAAAAATACAAACCAGGGGCCAGCCTGGTGGCATAGAGGTTAAGTTAACATGCTCTGCTTTGGCAGTCCGGGGTTCATGGTTTCGGATCCCAGGCACGGACCTACACACTGCTCATCAAGCCATGCTGTGGTGGTGTCCCACATACAAAATAGAGTAAGATTGGCACAGATGTTAGCTCAGCGACAATCTTCCTGAAGCAAAAAGAGAAAGGTTGGCCACACATGTTAGCTCAGGGCCAATTTTCCTTACTGAAAATACCCAAAACAAAACAAAACAAAAATACAAACTACAGAGATACTTGTGGTTACACAGGATAAACCAGGATGTCTGAAAGAAGAGGTAGGTGCACAGGGCTTGGTGTGGCAAAGTTAGAGATGTTGAATTTAATTTTGGAAATGTATTTTGGGTGCACATACAAATAGCAAAGGCTTTAAGCATTTGTTAGGATGCAATTGCAGACAAAAAGACAGCACTGATATTGTACATTTTAGAGTCAAACACACAGAAGTGAGAGGTTAACTCACAGGAAAGGATGAGCACATCAAATAATGAACATAGAGAGGCTGAGGCCAAAGAGAAAGGATAGCACTAGAGTTGGGGGTGGAGGGTGGACACAGGAAACAGGAAGAAGAAAAGACGAGAGTGGTATCCATTGGTGGAGAAGCAGGGGAGAACAATGTTATGGCCAAGGAAGGAAAGAGTTTTAAACATGAAGAGATAGTCAACAGAGTTAAGTACCACCGTGAGGTTAAGGAAGGGAGGCCTGAGAACTATCCTTTGGGTATTCAGGAGGGAGGTCACTGGCAACAGTTGGCAGGACACTTGGTTTTGATATAGCGTGTTACAGATGGAAGATTGGTTACAGGAAGGAATGGTTTGGAAGCAGGAGGTCAGGACAGAAGGCATAGATGATCTTATCCTAGGACTGAGGTTCCAAAGAAGAAGGTAAACATGATGGCCAAGACAAGCAGCAGATGAGGAAACCTAAGTGTGTTTGAAAACCAAGAGTCTGAATTTCCTTGATTATTTTGATAAATAGGGCAAATATATTTTTAGAAAACAGAATTTGAATAATAAAAGTGCAAAAAGAACTTAACTATTTAATCACTTTAATTCATCATATTTTAGGACATTTTATTTATTTGATTTTCATTTTATATATTTTTATAATGAGTCATGCTTACATCAAATATGAAAGACATGAGGTAGTAAATTGGGAATGCTAAGTTCTTCCTTTTTTAAAAAGAATTTTTACACCTTTCCAACATCTTCCTCTCTCCTTCTTTGGCTACATGTGTACTTGGAACATGAAAATGTGTTTTTTTTATTTTGTTAGTTTCGTTGGCTTCCTGCTTACAAAGATCATGCATGTTTATTACAGAAATATTACTTGGCACAGAAAGGCTTAAAGAATAAATTTTTAAAATTTCGTGAAATAATTCTATTCAGAGATAACCAATGTTATTATTTTGGTAAACCTCCTTCCAAATGTCTTTCTATGTGTAGATACATAGATGATATTTTATATTAATGAGATCAATAAATACTATAGTACAATGTGTTATACTATACTATAAGTGTGGTTTTGAACCTGCTTTTTAGCATCTAATAGTATGTTGTAGACATTTTCTGTGTCAATGAATATAGATATATAGCATCTTTTTTTAATGGCAGTCTGGTATGAAGATACCATAATTAATTTAAGCCATCTCCTGTTGCCAGACATTTAGACTCTTTCCAATTTTTCTGTCAAGCAACACTGGAATGAATATTCCTATGGATACATTTCTGCACACTTGTCCAGTTGATTGTCTTTGAACAACTTCCTGAAAGTGGCGTTGTATGTCAAAGGCTATGCATATATGATATTGTGATGCATATTGCTGAATGTCCCTAGACGTACTGTACCAATTATACTTCTACCAATAATACTTATCAGTACCCAGGAAGTTCTTTTAAATGTCTTAAAAATTTTTTTCCATCTTCATTCAGACTCATTTTCTTTACTTAAAAAATGAGGATGAAATATATTGGTGGTTCTTAAACTTAAGATCTTAGGACCATTTGAGAATTCTTGAAAACTGTTGACTGGAAACTGGAACTATTGTTCCAGAAAATTGCACCTGTGCAAAAACACAGATATTTTAACGTGGTACTTATAAGAATTCACAGATCCTTTAGTCAATTCATAGACTCTTTAGGATTTCTCTCCATGAATCTGAGTGAAGAATCTCTGAATAAGATGATTTGAAAGTTGCTTTCTCCTTTTCACACTAACACACAAACACATCTTGCACACACACATCACACACTCATGTGCACACAGAATTTTGATGTTTATTTGGAAAAACTTTATCAGCTTAATACAGAACCTAGTCTCATTGTGATCTGTGGAATCACTTGAGTGTGTGTAGTTATCAGAATGAATTTCTATTTATTTCAGGTTCTTCAATGGCGAACTCACCAGGAAGAGGTAGCAAGACTGGAAATGGAAATTTCTGCCAGAAGAAGAGAAAAGGAAGAGGAGAAGGAGAAACTGTGGAAGAAGAAGGAATTGTTGCAAAGAGAGGAGAAGAACAAACAAGTATAAACTCTACTCTTGCTGTGAATGTGTGAAAGAATGTTTAATTGCCTTTGATTGGTTTCGGTGTTTGGCATGGAATTCTCATAGGCAGTTCTTGGATTCATAAGGTTCTAGAGGAGTCTTGCTTCAGTTCATTTGAGCTTCACAGATTTGTGGATATGGCAGAGAGCCCACTTTGTTGACCTGCACAAACACAGGCACTGGTGATTAGAAGATATACTGTAGGTAAAGAAAAGACAGGGTTTGTGACTGTTGTTAAGTCTTGTGCTAAGTAGGGACATGGCCAAGACCAGAGGGTAGTGGGATAGCATTTTGGTTGACTGCAATGCAGCAGATGACTGTCAAAAGATGTGCTTGTTGGTAAAATATGTTGCACTGAGGTCAGTGCAGTTCATGAAACACCAAAAGGCCCTTTAAAAGTTTACTTCTTGATTTACTGTTTGTTAGATTGTTTGATTTTTCATTTACTGACACAAATTCATCATTCTACTTTTGAGCAAACATTTGTTTCCCAGTCTTCAAAATTTTAATCAAAACACTTATTAACAGCTTTAAAATGATTGCTGATAACCTGTAGAAGATAAAACTTATTTGAGGGGGGATTTTAAAAATATATATGGGATATTTATTTAGACATTTTTGTTTGTTCACACAACAAAAATTATAGAGTTTGCAATAAAAATATTTTTCTTAAAGATCTTATGAGATTTATTAGCCTTTTTAATGGAATTGCTGACTTCTGTGGAAATAATTCACAAAAAGGCAATTCATGATTAACTCCATAGCATAATGGTAGGAACTTCCATTAACTTATACACCTGTATTGACTTGATCTGCGTGATATAAAAATGTTTTCTTTTAGGGGCTGGCCCTACGGTAGAGTGGTTAAGTATGATGTGCTCCTCTTCAGCAGCCTGGGTTCATGGGTTCCAATCGCAGGCGCGGACATATACCACATGTCAGCCATGCTGTGGTGGCAACCCACATACAAAATAGAAAAAGGTTGGCAACAGATGTTAGCTCAGGGTGCATCTTCTTCAACAAAAAAAAAAAAAAAAGAAAAAAGAAGGTAAAGTTTTCTTTTGGAAAGCTGCTTAAAGTGCTAAGAATGACTGATTAATTCATAGTTCTTGATGAATACATTTTTATTTTTGTGAACATAATTGATGCTTTGGGCTATGTGACCATCCAGGTTTGTGAAGCTTTTGTCTAGAAGTTTTTTCTCCAAAATTGAACATGGGGTAAGAGAGACACTATGGCTTTTTAGCTACAGGCCAGTTTTTCTGCATTTTATTGTACCTCAATTGTCATTATTCCTGCTTATTTTGTGCTCTTAAATCAGCAAATTGGTATAGAGTCAGCATGTTGTGGAAAATAACATGTATAGAAGTTGTATAATCATTTGACAAAGTCGGCTGCTAAAAAGACGTAATTCACAGTTTAACTTCTAAGGAAGTAAGTTGGGTGGTTTCTTCAAGTCCCCATCAAGAGAAAAATTCATAAATATCAATCATGTTTCAAATAATGTATGTGAACTATATGTCTCTATGGGGAAATTTACTAATTAGTTACTGTTATGGAGCTACAATATTGGAAACAGATATTCTTATAGTCTTTTCATCTATCTGGGCTGCCTTTGTAGCACTTTCTTTCTTTCTTTCTTTCTTTTCTTTTTGAGGAAGATTAGTCCTGAGCTAACAGCTGCCAATCCTCCTCTTTTTGCTGAGGAAGACTGGCCCTGAGCTAACATTCATGCCCATCTTCCTCTACTTTATATGTGGGACGCCTACCACAGCATGGCATGCCAAGTGGTGCCATGTCCACACCTGAGATCCAAACCAGCAAACCCCGGGCCACTGAAGTGGAATGTGCGAACTTAAATGCTGGGCCACCAGGCAGGCCCCATAGCACTTCCTTTCTATGAATTAGTATGACCATGAAAAGTAATGTATTTTTAGGTATTTGTATGTAAAGTCATTTTAAGTGCCATATAAAGAAATTTAGATACAGTTCCACTTTCTGGGGGCTAACAAAGACAGTGAAAGAATACACGAATTAGTAACTCAAGTATTGAGAATTGGAGTAAGTGTGCTTAATTGTTAAATTAAATTTGAATTGGGGAAGTGACATGGTTATACAGGAGAGAATGGAGGGACATTGCTGACTGTTTTCTTTGCAGTCTGTAAGATTTCTGAAAGTGAGAGAAAAGCATTTTGAAAGATGGGAGAGAGACTTTCACGAGCTTGCAGATGAGCTGTTAACATTTGACTTGACATTTGGCCTGACACCAAAACAATAACAACACAACAAAACAAACAGTAATGGAAGGAATAATTAAGCTCTAAGCCAAATTCATGGTCAACTGCTTTCAATTTTATAGGACCAACGCATGTTTTATTTTATCTATTTTCTTTTAAAAAATACTTACAAAATCCTGCCATTCGTGACAACATGGATGGACCTTAAAGGTATTATGCTAAGTGAAATAAGTCAGACAGAGAAAGACAAATACTGTATGATTTCACTCATATGTAGACTATAAACAAACACATATTTAAGGAGAACAGATTAATGGTTACGAGAGGGGGAGGGCGAAAGGGATAAAGGGGCACATATGTATGGTGATAGATAAAAACTAGACTATTGGTGGTGAACACAATGCAGTCTATACAGAAACTGAAATATAATAATGTTCACCTGAAATTTACACGGTGTTGTTATAAGCCAATAGGACCTCAATAAAATAATTTTTTAAAAAAAGGAAAAAAAGACTTCTTACATTTAGAAAATGTTTTTTTAAAGTAGAGAGATTGATGTAATAACCACATTAGTACTCATCACCCAGCACTGAAACTACTACTATTTTTCATTCTGTTTCAGATTTATTTTATCTTACACATAAAGTTGAAGTTCTCTTTTGAGGACTTACTCAGTACCATTTCCCTTCTTACCTCCCCAAAGGCAATCTCAGTCATGAATTTTATTTCTCTCCAGACCATCTATTGATTTTAACATATTTGAATATGTAGTTTGTGACTTTTAAATTTTTTTCATGAATACAATCATACTGTGTCATTCTGCAGCATCTAATTCTTCATTCAGCTTTACATTTTTGAGATATACCCACGTGAATGCACAGACACCTGATCCACTCCTTTAACAGCTATGTAGCGTTTCATTGTAGAACTAGGCTACCATTTATCCCTTCTCTTAGTGGTTGACGTTTAAGTTTCCAAAGTTTTGTTGTTGCAACCGTACTGCAGCAGCCACCTTGCACACGTCAACTGGGGCATGTGTGCACAGCTTTCTCTCGGGGACCCTGGGAGGGGAATTACTATGCTGTAGGATTTCTTTCAACATTATAAGCTATCACAACTTTTCTTTTTGACTTTTGCCAATCTGATATCTCAGTGTTTTAAATTGGATTCCCCTGATCACTTGTGACGTTAAAAAATCTCCTCATGTTTGGGGCTGGCCCCGTGGCGGAGTGGTTAAGTTCGCACGCTCCGCTGCAAGTGGCCCAGTGTTTCGTTGGTTCGAATCCTGGGCGCAGACATGGCACTGCTCATCGAGCCATGCTGAGGCAGCGTCCCACATACCACAACTAGAAGAACCCCACAACGAAGAATATACAACTATGTACTGGGGGCTTTGGGGAGAAAAAGGAAAAAAAAAAATCTTTAAAAAAAAAAAAAATCTCCTCATGTTTATTGGGCAGTTTTCTTCCTCTGTGAATTACTTATTTGTACTTTTCGTCCATTTGTCTATTTTTTATTTATTAATTTGAAGAAGTTCCTTATAAATTCTGGATAGTGTTTCTTTTTTGTCAGATATATGGGTTGCAAATGTTTTCTTCATTGGTCATTTGCCTTTAAATTTTACCTATAGTGTCTTAGTTTCGTGGAAATTTAAAATGATCAAGTAATCAAAGTTGTTAAATTCTTTTTTATTTTTTGTGAATTGTGCTTTCCTTTAGGAACTGTGACCTGGTAGCAAGAGCATCTCTATAGAGAGCTTTAATGTTTGCCTCTGCTAAGGGCCCTATGCATTTTACAGGTCCAGGACCAGTTTGTGTATTAACTTTGAGGCTTAGGACCTACTGCCGTGAGCTTGGAGTGGGTGATGGCTTAGCACTCATGCACAGCACCCACCTGGGTTCTGCAGTTGACTCCTTTCTTCCTCTCGTCCCAAGCAGAAAGTTAGCCCCCTTGTCACTTTCCTGGGGAGTGGTCATGGGATTTCTAGTTTCCATTTTGTGTATGGACAAGTCCTACCTGACTTCTTGCCTTGTAAGGAGCTTGGTTCTAGCTCCCGTGAGCACATGTCCCACAACTAATATTAAAGGCCCAGCCCCCAGCTCCTCCGGCCTATCTCAGGGCCTGTTTTCCCCAGGAATCCCTCTCACTACTCTTACTTTGAGTTCCATCTTTATTTTCAGGACAGGGGCATTCTGTGTGTGTAGTTGTCTATTGTTGTTTTGTTATAGTTTGTCCAAAATTTCTACATGTTTAAAGTGGGAAAGGAGATTTCTATGTCAACTCAGACGTACTGACCAAAGTTCTGGCTACCTTTAGATTATTAACCGCAAATATAGATTCTCTCTAACTACTTTATATGTTGGAGACAAATTTTAGTTCTTTGATGTTTAATAGCAGCTTGGCAAAAAAACCCCTATAAACAACTCCCCTGACTTGAGACTGGTTGTTTTCTTAGCTGGTGCTCTGGGTTTCCCCATTTATTGTTTTCCTTGCCTGGCTTTCTCTTCTCATGTGAGCAGCAACAGAGATAGAAAAACTATGCCCTGTGTAAAACCCCACCTTAAGATTTCTGAACAAGAGCTCATCTTTCTCCTAATTTCTCTTCCCAGCAATTTGTCTTTCAGGGAAGAATGCTGTCTTTTTGCTGGAATACTGTTTTAATTTGTATCCATTGCCAAAATTTACCCTGGTAGGCGCCCAGTTCCTTTAAAATCTACCTTTAAGTTACTAGATCACTTTTTC